AGACGTTGCGACCCGGGGGCCTGGCGTGCGCTTGGAAAGTGCAGCCGGGTCGGTAGCGGGTTTGCTCTTCGGCCTTGCAGGGAATCGGGGGTAATACCGTGCTCTGGGTCAGTTTCGAAATTAGCAGGAGCAGTGCAGCTGTCGAGTGGGGAAAGTTTCATGCTGCTGTCAACCCAAATCCCACACTGGTTGGCGGTGACTGGTCCTGAGGTGTGCATCTGATGTGATGTGCACCAAACTACAAACTTTGGGGTTTTTTTTGAGGATATCTTTTCTAAAAGTTAACGTGCAGTGCATGTGTTAAGGACCGTAGCTCAATGCAGCTGAATGCTCAGGTTGCAATCACTTAGTGTTCCCCTGTGTTGCAAACATAAACGGTATGTTAGTAAGAGGCATGAGGCACTTCTTCCCACCATTCCTCCTCTTCTAGTGAATCTTGCTGTGAGGAACATAACTTTTGGTGACAGCTTAAGAATGAAGGCAGCTTTTAATCTTCTAAGGGTCTCTGCCTAATGCTTGGCATGGGACAGTGTTAATTTCATACAGCAGATGAAATTCATGTGTTTTATTTTACAGGCTGCTGCTGTATACTGTGTCGTGTCAGGCCAATAAGAAACTCAAGCTGCAGGTCTGTTTGTGATTGAGGTAGAAAATAAACTGGATAAAGGAACATTAGCTATTGTGTCCTGTAGAGACTTGCTGCAAAACCTTCCTAATGTCTTGCTCCTTCTGTAATAACCCGGCATGTTGCTGAAAACAGGGAGAGAGAATAGGACCTTTTTTGACTGTTCTGCTATGGTTGGGGAAAACGTAAAATGTTTTTGTTACTTCTCATCCGCTCTTAATGGCTTTTGCAGTCTGCATGTTTATTTTACTGTTTGCCGTTGAATACACACCTATTGAAGGGTTTTCATGAGGAAGCCTGTCTTATTTTGAGTCAATAAAGCCTAGAAAAAGTTGTCACTGAGTGGTGCAGTGACGTTGGACAGTGATTACATGTAGCATACACTGACTTGTAGTTTAGTTAATTGTTTTTTTGACCTGTCAATTCTTACAGGTAATGCTGTACAGAAAACAAAGTGTTTTGACTGCTGTCTTGGTAGTAGAGGGAAAACAGCACATCCTTGGTAGCCACTGGATGTGGGTACATCGATGTTTCCTTTGCATTAGAAATTAGAGATGGTGTCTTCAGGAAGAACAGTGTGCAGGTTCTCGTACCCTCCGATCTCCTCAATGAGAACTGCGGACTTGAGAAATCCACATGCTGGCAACTGCTAGGCAACTTCCTGACTAGCCTGTTGGAGGAAGGCCAAAGCCACTAGTTGTGGTGATGTCTGTGCTCTCTTTAGTTAAGTCTGAAGTTTGAAAGCTTTCCCAGTACACTTCTGGTAACTTATTTTGGAAAACCATGTGTGCTGATGTGACTTACATCAGCCAAACTGTGGTTTGCAAAACATACATAATTTACAAGTTTTTGACAGCACTGTGTCTTTGTACCTTAATTTTTTGCTGTGCTCACATTTGTGTTGCAGCCTTGATTTGACCTCGATTTTTCAGTGGAGCAGTAGTTTGTCAACTTCTGCAGTGGCAAGCTGAAGCAGTTGTGTTTTGCAGCTCTGTAGCTGGACTCACAGATGCAGTTACTGCACGGTGGGAAGAAAATCCTTCAGAGGGCTGTCAGTTTCAAACTTGTGTTCCTGGTCTGTCCCGTGCTTAGTGATAGAAAGCAGGGGTTTGTATGTTAATGTTGATTGTTTTCTAGTAACTATACAATGGGGTTTGTATGTTTATGTTAATGGTTTGATGATAGCTCTAAAACAGGTGTTTTGTATGTTGGTATCAAGTGTATGTTTGGTAGCAACTGCTAGAGTATCACTGTCCCCTATGTGTTAGAAATATGATGCTGCATCCTTTGTATGTGTTCTGTTTTGCTGCTTAAAAAACCCCCCCAAAACAAACAAAAAGGAACCTTAATGATGGATGAACACAAGGACACAAAGTGTCCTTTGAATTACTCTCTGTATTGGTATGAGGCTGCTGGTTTACCAGTGTGGACCATTTTTGCCTATTGGTTCTGATGTCACACTAGAAAGGGCTTTTGGTGCTTGTTGGAGAGATCTGGAACTAATGGGAAAAGTGGATAAAAGGATGGGGAATCAGTGCTCCTGTTTCAAAGATTTCAAGACTTTTTATAGAAACATCTGAAGCTCCCGAATCCCCTCATCCATATGGAGGTTGGATATGTTTGTCAGAAGTTGAATGCTCTTGTTAATTCTGGAGGAGCACAGCTAATTCAGCATAGTTAGTTCACATGAGCAGCTTTCAATTTGAGAGAGTTGACTTGTGGAAGTACAACACAATTGTACGTGATTGGCAGAAATATTTGTATGTGTGTGGAAAGTGGAGGGGTTGGAAACATGCTACAGTGGTTTTTCAGGTTTACTGATGTGCATATGATTGTGGAATAAGTTGGTACAGTGAAAATGGACAAAGCTTTGTAGAAGGCGTTTTTATAGATCATTATGGACCATACTTTCTGTTTTGAGCCTGCTGTAAAATCTTTGTTATCACTATTAGATCATCTCAAATCAAGTACTCTTTTGAATGGGTGCATAAGCCCCTATGCCTAATAACTAGGAATGTTTCATTTGTGTGCCTCTTGGCTTGATTTTTAGTTCATGCAAATCATGAAGTGTTTCCTCTCAAGACACAGTGTTTCATGTTGGGTTTGGGGTTTTTTGGGGGTTTTTTTGTGGCTTACTAATGTGATGGAATGGTCATGATTTTGTTCCAGTCTTCCAGTGTGCTTTTGAAAATACAAGTCATGATCAGAGTTATCTGCTGTACATGTTTGCCCAGCAGTACTGGTCCTGTAGGGAGGATGTTCTTGTGATTGTGTTGGGTTATGCCAGGTGTTTATATCATGGTTTTGGGAGGAAAGATAAGGTTTTACCATCCGATACTTCGCTTTTTTTTTTACTGCTTTCTGGGGAAGGGGATTTAACTAAACGTCCTTTATTTGTTTTAGTTTAGTAATATCGGCATATGTCCAGACTAGTATTTAAATGCTTCGGCTTAACTGCACTGCCTTATAAACCTATTCTGCCTGCATTTGTTTCATAAGCAGTTGTGTGGATGCTCTGTAGATAACTAAATGGAATTAAGCCTATGGTGGGGATGCAAGGAAGTAGTAAAATATCTTTTTGCCACTCTGTAGTTTCTTAGGATAGCAGAGTAAGCAACTGCAGCGGAATATGATGCAAAACTTTTGAGTACATGTAAGTCTTTATCTAATCTGGCCAGGATCATTTAAGCAAATTCTTAAAAAGTGCAGGCCTGTGTGTGTAATGTCACTGATAAAATTCTGGTGTTCCTTATATTAGGTAACTGAGCTCATAAAGCTTGACAGTACAGGATTTTGGATAAGACACATTAACAGATTAACCATCTTATCTTAACAGGAAAATGTTTATCGGTGGCCTTAGCTGGGACACTACAAAGAAAGATCTGAAGGACTATTTCTCTAAATTCGGTGAAGTCGTAGACTGCACTCTGAAGTTGGATCCCATCACTGGGCGATCGAGAGGCTTTGGCTTTGTACTCTTCAAAGAATCAGAAAGCGTAGATAAGGTAGTATTAATGTAATGAAACAACGTGTTCAGTTTTAGATAGCAAAGGTACAGCACTCAGCTGATTGCATAGTTCTTAGTATGTGATCTGTTAAAGCTGATTCTAGGATACAGTACATTTAAGATGCGTATTGAAATTTTTTTTTTTCCCTAAACTGTCTTGCTCATGATGCAGTGGCCAGGGCCAGCAGTGATTCCGAAAGTATGGCTTTGGGTACTTACAGGGGAGTATAGTGCAAGCCACTGGAGTTGAGCACTTCAAAAATACTGTATGTAAATGTCTGCTGCCTGCTACTGTGAAAGCAATCATTTTACAAAGAACTTCAAGTCTTTGCATTCCAGAGCTGCAATGTGAACGCCTAAAGTAGAGCCAGTGGCTTTGATAGATTTGGGCTTTATCCAAGCAAAAATTAGCTTTTAACCTTTCTAAAATGCTGTTGACAGAGCACACTGAAAACTTCATGAAAACTTCATGAGGTTTGAGGATGGGATTGTAGAGTACTTTCTGAGAAATGTTACACTCTTACTTCCCTTGGGTGATGCATGGCTCCAGGTGACCCGTGAAAGAAGTAGAACTGTCTATGTAAGTGGATAGTGATGAAAATTGTGGAACTGTTTGGTTTTATGCAACAAATGATCACTATAACCAAAGTATTAAAATTGAGCAATAGCATTAACAAAAACTAAATATAAAATAACTGGGCCTTGCTCAAAACATCACGGAAACATTTAGCTTGAACCGCAAGTAAGATCATGTTTTAATTTTCCACAGGTCATGGACCAGAAAGAACATAAGCTGAATGGAAAGGTCATTGATCCAAAAAGAGCTAAAGCCATGAAAACAAAAGAACCTGTTAAAAAGATTTTTGTTGGGGGCTTATCTCCAGACACACCTGAAGAGAAAATAAGGGAATATTTTGGAGGTTTTGGTGAGGTATGTGGCGAAACAAACGGCTTATATTTGTAGAACTTGTTCTGTCTTCACAAATTTAGTAATAAAAAACAGCCCCCAAATGCAGCTTGCGTGGGTGCTACTGTAAGCTTAATGGACAGTGTAGCTCCATGTGTCTTAGTCGTCAGAATTTTAATGATAAGGGTATTAATTACAGGCTTTGAGTCACATAAACTGGGTTAATGGAAGGAGGAGCTGGGATAAGTGAGAGAGTTGGGAACTGATCCATGGCATGTCTGACAGTCTTGACTGGGACAGGCATGGGAGGCAATGTTTTTGAGCATGCTGGTTTGGTCAGTTGGGTGAGGTGCTCTTCAGTCACCCCAGCTGATCTGTGTTATGGCACAGATTCAGACAGTTTGCCTAAATTCTGTGCAACTGTGTAGTCTTTGTCTCTCCCTGTCCCCAGTTTTTGGTGGTGCAGTTGAACAAAATCTCACTGCAATCCTTAAAAAGCTGGCCTTTTATGAGCTTGGTACAGCTGCTGCTTCCTTATCAGTTCTCAGATATTGCCAGCAGCAGGTCATGACAACCCTGTTGTCAGGGAATTCGGTTGTCAAATACCTGTCACCTTACTACCTTACAGACAGTTCACTCTGAACTATAAACTTGAACTACTGTTTGCCTAGGCTGAAGTCTCATGTACTAGATGTAAGGAGAACTTTACGCTGTGTTTGTAGTCAGGTTTCAAATTTGTCCTGTTTAACATACAGTTTTAGCAGCATTGAGGATGAACAGAACTATGCACTTGCACAAAGCTGCATCTTTTTCATATGAAACTTGAAGGCTTGTCTGCTTAAGGTTTGAAATGCATAGTTACTTCAGTCTTAACTGAGTTAAATAGTCTCAGTTTGACGTTCATTTTTGTTCAGCACAACTAAAATATTCTTTGTGTGCCATATTTTTTATGAGTTCCTGAATGGGCAAATGATACTATGAGTTAGAGCAAAAAAGCCTTGTACACAATTATGAATGCTGTTTCTAGTGAAGGTGATGTTTGTGATGATGATGGTTTCTAGTGATGTAAAGCCCAATGAAGGAGGCACATTATCATATTTAAGTCTAAATAATACAGCCTGTTAGAAACATTTATAAGTGGCATGAATAGCAGGATAAAAGATAAAATCACTGTCTTCTACCAGGTTGAATCAATAGAGCTCCCCATGGACAACAAAACTAACAAGAGGCGTGGATTTTGCTTCATTACTTTCAAGGAGGAGGAACCAGTGAAGAAAATAATGGAAAAGAAATACCACAATGTTGGGCTTAGTAAAGTAGGTGGAGTTTTTCCTACAGAAACTGAACAATGATAATAGAGGGAATTACATTATCAGTTGCATCTGTTTGGGGATAATAGTTTGAAAATACCTGTAAGCATTATTTCTTACATGTAGGCCATATGCCTATGCAGTATTTATATAGGTGCTAGGAATAGGTTACTGTAATCTTAACTTCTGAGCTGAGGGGGTTTCCGGTGAGGTTTTGTACTGAACCCCCTATGGGGAGAGACTGCAGCTTATTTGTTGATTTTCCCACATTCTGTAGCTGTATGATGAGAATGCTGTGTCACTTCCTCTACCAGGCTGCACTGTGTTTTCCTGGTAGCTGGATGTGTTTAATACGGAAATACTTTGTTGTTTTAAGCAAAATGTCAGTTTTTCTTAGAGTGCTTCCAAAACTGAAATGAAATGGGAAGTTAGGCTTTCCTGTTGGAAGTTACGTTCCTTTTGGAAACCTGGTTGAAATTCAAATTGTGGTTGGCCTCTTCTTCATTGGATGAATATGTAGTGGAGGCTTCAGAACAGCGTTGAGTAAAAATGTTGACCATACTTTGTAAATCAAATTTGATTTCAGTTTTCCCACATACAAAGACATACACATTCTTTTCAGAATTGGTTCTACTGGCAGAAAATTGGAAAACTTCAAAATGTTTTTATAATGCCAGTGTCTTAGAACTATTTTCAAGTTGGAGAGTGTAAGCTATCCATTTTTTTTCAGGGACAGCACCAGGGTGTCCAAATCCTATTTTCTGCTTAGAGTTCTGTAAGTTTAAGAATGGTTCATGGGGGTTATCTTTGCTAATTGGATTTGACTTCAACTTTCTGTTTCCAGTGTGAAATAAAAGTAGCCATGTCAAAGGAACAGTACCAGCAGCAGCAGCAGTGGGGGAGTCGAGGAGGATTTGTTGGAAG